TAGGACTGAAATTTTATTATTTATGCTTTTTTTTTCTTAAGTTTGGCTTAGCGACGAAAACGCCCCGTCCTGAAGTGCAAGTCCTTACGTATTAGCCCCATCCCTAGAGAGCGTCTCAGAGAAAATCGCCCCGTCCCGAAGAGGTTAACGTCTTTTATGCATAAGTAGCAGTATGATGGGTTCCCAAATAAAAAATTTACACATGTAGTTACTTCAAAATCACTACAGCTATATCAGTGCCATCCACCAGGAATATAAATTGTGGTAGGGTATGTGCACTGTTTACGATATCTACTTTAAAACCTGTTCACGGGAGAGGAAATTAATCGAAAAAAAAGTCATACTATATATGGATGCATACAGATAAGAAATATGTGCAATAGTATTGTTTGTGATTGCAAAAGGTGAGCTTTATTGTGGACACTAGCGGTGAAGGGTGGGAGTTAGGTCGAACAGCTGTGAATAATTGCAGTAAAAACTTATGCGACGAGCAGCAAAAATGATAGCGGATTCTAATCACAATACCTGCTCGTATATCTCCCATGAAACATATGCGACCTGAAAAAAATCCATTAGAATGTGTTGGAAGATCTGTCGTACAGCCCGTGTCAATCACCTTGTGGATGCTACACCTGTAGGACACTTATAAGAGCAATACGTTTTTGTTCGGATGGCAACGTAAAGAAAGGTGTGCAGGACTTCCTGAAAAATCAGCTACTATCTTTCAACAGCGAAGGCATTGATTTTATACAAATAGATGAAGCATGTGATAAAACACCCAGGGCGATTTCTTTTTATTTCTGAAGAGAAAGCATTATTTTTATTTAGATGATTAACTTTTCATTTAGGCAATCCTTATACATTTATAATACTTAAGTAATTTATATTTATTACTTTCTATTTAATATAGAGAGGATTCGTACTTTTTTTTTATAAAAAGTTTATTGATACTTTTAAAAGTTTAAAATATGATAGAACCTCTTTTTTCAACAGATATACTCAAAAACAGAGAATCTTTCCTTTCCAACAATATTTTTGCATCTAGTTTACGATTTATGAAAAATAGAAAAGTTTTATTAAACCGTCAGCACACGCGCTGAGATAAAATCTACTCCAGCTGCTTGTTTACTTTGTTTCAAAAGGGAGATATCCGCATGAGATATCTTTCCAATATTTACGGTGGCTTTCGTGATCAAAGTCATGAAAGAGTGGCGTTAAGGAATTTTGCCTGCATTCCGATAATCGGATGTTATTATCTAAATAATGTAAAATGGGAGGGATTCAATCTCGTGAATTTTAAAATGACTTACTTCAAAAGTGCTCAAGTAATGAACATATAGAATGGCTAGTCCTTACCTTCCCGCATCGCTGGGTGTTTTATGATGCCGTATGACTATAAGTTTTTCTGAGTCCCTGATATCTAAATTCTAGCATTAAGCTTTCGATTGTATTGGAAAACATTTTTTTAACTCTCACCACTTAATTATAAAAATGACAGGGCTTCAATTTCTAAAACAGAAGTGTAGTGGAGGTATCTACATAGTCCACTAACAGCCACCAGATAGAGGAGATCACTTTTGTCTAGAAATCATGTTACTAGGCTTCTGATCCATAGGTCGTAGGTTCTGTCCACCGGATACACACCGCCGCATTTGTGATCTTGACACTGAACTAAGAAAAATACATGTCGTGGCGCCATCTAACCGTCGTAAGAGCAAACAAAAGTCGGCATGTCCACTGGACGAAGCAACCAAAGGCGTCAGACTTAACGCATCAACCAAAAAGCCGCCAGACTTACTTAACGCAATATCTCCAATTAACAGTGACAACTCTCATGCCCACCATAACAAATATATATTGTTCGTTCGCCTATCCACCGACTCACTGGTTGGCGAGTACTGTAGTGGGGGTATCTACATAAGCCACAAACAACTTTTGTCTAGTGGTCACGTTACTGGACTTCGGATTCATAGGTTGCGGGTTATGTCCTCCGGATTTGCGCTCTTCAACACAAGTCTTATCTATTACTCACCCATACCCATGAGAGACGACTTCAGTAAATCTATTTTTAGAGGATCCTTACTCAGTAAAGTAAAAATGTTTTCCAAATTTAAGGTATTCGACTACGTTCGGAATCGTGATATTAAAAAAGCGCATAAATGGATAATTTTCATGATATTTAGTGCCACTTAGATTAGAATACATGTATAAAATTATTTTAAGGACATTGTGACAAAAAAAATTATTTAAATACAATATTTCGGCAAAAAATTAACTTAGAATAACCTTTGTTCAAAATGTTCTCCTTTTGTGAAAAATGCTTCTATTATAATAATATTTTGCCTTGTATATAGCTCAGACCTTTGTACAGAAGCTCATGATTTTTGAAAAATTCACACTATTTTCAGAGTTAAACCAATTGAAACATAATTATCGGCATATTTTTCTTAAAATTGCTCCCCTCTGTTGTCGTAAAACATGGATATAAATCCACTTCTAAGTTATATAATTCAAAAATTCTAGTTGAGACTCTGTACAGAGGTCTGAGCTATATACATGCAAAATATTATTATAATAGAAGCATTTTTCGCAAAAGGAGAATATTTTGAAAATGGGTCATTCTACGGTCATTTTTTTTTCAAAATATTGTACTTAAATAATTTTTTATTGTAATACTATTCTTAAAACAATTTTATATACATTTTCTAATCTAAGTGACATTAAATATAAATATTATCCATTTATATATACATGCTTTTTCAAAATCACGGTTCCGAACGTAGTCGGATACCTTAAAGTATGTACGTCTAATAGTTTAAAAACAGAACTTATCCTCACTAAATCGTCCCCGTAAGCCCCCAAACCTCCTTGTGGAAGCCGATTTCCACAAAATCTGCTCTTAGAGGATCTCTACTCAGCAGCGGCGTTTTGCTTTAAACGCGGTGTTATAAGTGTACGTTTATTTTATTGTAGTTATGTAAGATAGTAAGTATATATATACAAATTCCGAAATTTATTATTAAGTTATAATAAAAATGTTATAGACCTTATTCTTGCTCACCCCACCTACGGCACTGGGGGGACCCCAAAACCTTGAAGAAATTAGAAGTAGCCGTATCCTGAAAAAGTTTGCGCACCCCTGACGTAGAGTAAAGGAACGCGAATGTTGATGGTTTGAAACTGGTGAATTTTTATTTAGATTAAAATGAAAGATCGGGATATTATAAAAACTGTTTGGCAATCAACCTGTAGTATTTAATTTCGTGTTCAAAATTAATATATACAATTTTAATTTAACCCTTAACTTCGCAATTCTTTAAATTTTTATGAAAAAATTATATCAGCTAGTTCTCAAGTAATGATAAAAGGGAAAAATATGAAAAAAAAATTAAGCAGTTTTAAATTGAATTTCAGTCATTTTTTTGTTTATTTCAGAAGTGCAACATTGCGTAGTAGTGCTGCAAATTACAAAACTTTTTTTTTATATTAGGATTTTATTATTCATCATAAAATGTTTAAATTTCTTACCTGATAATTTATTTCATCAATAAACAAGAGGAAGCATAAAATATAATGGATTCTTTTTATAGCAAAAACACACTTCTTGAAGCATCAGAGATTTTTATAATAGTTGTGATTTCTGGAAAAAAATGTACTTCCATCTAGTGACAAAATCAGCATGTATTTCGTTGCAGTAATCTTTTATTTCTCAGATAAGTGATTTGTAGGCAATTAAAAAATATTGAGTCTGTTAAATTGAAATAAATCATTTGTTGCAGAAATGCAATAGTGCAAAGTTAAGGGTTAAAACGTTTTCAAATAGACTATTTGAAAAATAATAAAACTCTTGAAATATTATTTAACCAGTTCTGTGAGGTTACATCTTATCTAGTTTAAATTGCTAGAATCTTCCCAAGACACATAAAATAACATAAATCATTGTGAGGCCCATTTGAGTCTTCCACAGATGTGAATATAAATAAGACAAAATGCTTTATTGATCATGAATTTATTTTCTCTAGTACGCTTCAGTTAATAAAATGCTCTCTAGTCTAAAGTAAACATAGTTTCATAGTTTATTCCAGTTAATAGGTGTAGTATCTAGTTATATTTTTTTATTCTATATCTAATTTTTTTATTTCATTAAGTTATATTTTATTTTTTATATCAATACAAAAAAATTCTGTATCAAGATTTCAACTCTTTCAAGGAAATAAAAATAATATGAAATATTGATTTTTGAAATATAATTGAAGCTATATACACATGAGTTGTGTGTGTGTAAATTTTGTGTATAATTTTATCAAGTGTGTGTGTGTACACTTACCACATATTTCTTCTAAGACAGATTATATTTAAATTGCAATTTTACTCAAAAATATAAATTTTAGGCATGCGTACAAGAGTAGATAAAAAGTTTCTTTTCTATTTTTAAATATGAATTCGAAATTTAATTAAGCAATTAATTAAATAAATTTTATGTGTGTGTAATAGTAGTGGCTGGTATATTATTTTAAATGCCTTGCAATTCAAATGCACAAAGTAAATTTTTTTAAAATACCGAAAATAATAATACGTTCACACAATCTCCACAATTAAATGCATTAACAATTATTTACAAATTTTTATAAGAAAACAATGCATGGATTTGTCATAATAGAATCTTTTGAAATATAAATATGCAACAGATAACGAGTATTATTATGAAAATAGACTTAATATTCAAAATAAAATTCCATTATCTTATTAACAAGTAACAAATTTTTTTTTAAGTCAATTCATACTTAAGTCAACTAAGAAAATTTTTATTTTAGTTACTTTTTATTAAATAATTACAATTAATATAAATACGTATGACAGAATCAGAATATTAAATGGCAAAATAGAAAGCTCTATTTTACACGCATTTTTCAATTTTCCTTTCTATATAGGGTGTGATGGACTATTATTTTATTTGTTACTACTTATTCATTCATAAATAACATACTCAGAAATCAGGCCATCCCAGGTAGGATTCGAACCCACAACCTTTGGATTAGAATTCCAACGCGCTATACATTGCACTACAGGGACACAACGAGTGATTTTCCTTTCTATATATGCCTTTGGATTAATTATTTTTGTTTGTTACTATTTACTCATTAAGTTTAACTAATGAATTAATATTTGAAAAAACTGTATTAACATCAAATATCATTCACTAGAAGTTAAAAAAAATGTATTTGAAGTTGAATGGATGAATAGAAATTATTTTATTAACGATTGAAAGAAAATTTGAACAATATATATATATATATATATATATACTAATAGTAAGAATTGACAAAACCACAGTAATATTGAAAAAAATATACATTTTAGTTACCCTAAGTAGCATACTTAAAGAAAGCTGAGACAAGACTCTCCAACAGAAATAAGTTCGACAAAGTTTAGTTTGTATTAAGTCGCACTTATTCTATATTTTTATATTTCAAAAGATATTTTTAAATTGAAGGAATGGAACCTTTCATATTCATTAAAAAAAAAAAAAACATTGCTACAAAATCAAAATTAAATCTTCTGTTTTTTCAAAATCTCGAGTTTATTATTTTCTAAGTTTATTTAAAATTTGCTGAAGCGCACATTTCATGCTCTCTTATTTTATTAAAATGACATTTTAAAAGAAAGTTTTTTTTCCAAGAAATATTTGCAAATTTCTTCCAGATTATCTGAAATTCAACACGAAAGAGAATAACTTAATAAATTTATTTCAGATGAGTGCATTACTTGAATGAAACTGCAAAATAAAAAAGATCCCGACAGTTGAAAAATAAAAATATTACATCACCTTAGAAAAGATAAGGACATGGATCTTTAAATTAAGCAAAAAAAAAAAAAAAAAAAAAAAAATAAAAAAAAAAAAAAAAAAAATCCAAAGAATAGGCAATTTATTCCAGGAAGAAGACGATTTAGAAGAATTTAAAATGGGAAATGTAATTCATATTTAAAGAATATTAGCTTTTCGCAGTTTGAAAACGAAAAGATGTTGGAATAAATAGAGTTTTAAGTGTTACGACTGTGTGTGTGTGTGTTATTTATAAAATATCATTTCGGAACTGATTTTGAAGTTATATTTGAATCATATTCACCACAAAACGTCTAATCTCATTGATATTTCTATTACAATTTCAATATCTTAAGTAATAAATAATTTATATATATATCTTAATTTAATGCATTACTATTTTTAGATTTTTACTGTCTAGGTAATATTAAACTTCTCAGAATAAAGTTCAAATGAACAATTACCATTAAAATAATTAGTATTTGCTGAATTATAAACATAGATAACAATCATTCATTATTATTTTAAAATTCATGATGTTCACTTTACATATTTGTTTGTAAAATTATCTGCTACATAATCAATGTTTTTTCAAATTATTATTTTTCAATTTTTTTCAAATAAATTATTACAACATTAAATTCAACACACTGAAAAATGCTAAATTTAATTCATTGTATTTTAATTTTCAATTCCTACTATTAGTTTACACTCTTCGTCTTTCTCTCTCTTTCTCTCTATATATCTTGAACAAATTTTCAATCGTTAAAAAAAATACTTTGTATTCATCCGCTCAATTTCAAATACTTTTTTTTGAAACTTGTAGTGGATGACACTTGTTGTTAATACAGTTTTTTCATATATTAATTCATTAATTAAATTTAATTAATGAATAAATAGTAAAGAACAAAAATAATAGACGAAAATCATATAGAAAAAGGAAAATCGTGGGTTGTGTTCTTGCAGAACAAAGGATAGCGCGTTGGATTTCTAATCCAAAGATCGTGGGTTCAATTACCACCTGGGATGGCCTAATATCTGAGAATGTGATTTCTTTTTATTATACTATTTTATTGGAAAAATTAAATTTAATGAATGAGTAGATAGTAACAAACAAAAAAATATAGTCCAACACCTTATATAGAAAGGAAAATGGAAACTTACAAGGAAAATCGATCTCTATCTTGCCACTTAATATTGTGGTTCTGTCATATATATATATATAGAGAGAGAGAGAGAGAGAGTGACAACGACCAGATTGAATTAAGTATGCATTTATTTAGGGGAATTATCTACAAGGGAGGGCTAAAATTTAGTAAAAAACACGTTGAAATGCACATTAAATTGAAGAAAATCGTCAAATCACATAAAACACGTTGAAAAGATTCACTTTTCTTGCATCGTCCTTTTTTTTTTCTTTTGCTTCGGTTTTCTAGGGGATTTTAAATTAAGGGAAAGGCCGAGCCCCCATATAGAGAGTGACAACGATCAGATTGAATTAAGTATGCATTTATTTCGGGGAATTATCTACAAGGGAGGGCTAAAATTTAGTAAAAAGTTATCGGGTGGTTGGATTCCACCAGGCGTCTCGTCGCTGCGCCTTCGTCCCTTCTGTCTCGTCCCGTCTCTGCATCGTCTCTCTCTCTGTCTTCCCGCGCAATCGTCCTATTCGTCTGTCGTCTCTTTATTCTCGAACCGCCTTGTCAGCTAGGTGGCGCTCTCTTGGCCTTACGTCATTAAGGGAATATAGGAAGGATATAATAACGTGCACATCCATTCCTACATATACATATGTATTAATTGTAATTATTTAATAAAAAGTAACCAAAATAAAAATTTTCTTTGTTGACCTAAGTAGAAATTGAATTTTTTTTATATTACTTGCTTATAATTCATATAGTTCATTTTACATTTTTTTGTAAGATTATCTGCTACAAAATCAATGTATTCAAATTATCATTTAAAAAATTTTTTCAAATAAACTATTACACCAATAATTTCAACATACTATGAAAGATGCTAAATTTAATTTATTGCATTTTATTTTGGATTTCTTATTAATCTTGAGTACATAAACACCCTTTGCAATTTATAAGACTAGATTTGAAAACATACATAAAATATAATAAGAGATCTTAATAAATATTTTTTATGCAAAAAATAAGAACATACTTTAATTTTTAGAGCTTTAATACGTGTCTTTATTTCAAGATTTTCTTAATTATGAAATAAACATCGATTATTTCTAGCTCTTCCAACTCATACTATTTCAAAGAAAATTATATTTATTTACGAGGGGTGATCCGAAAAAAAAAGTATACAAACAGCAGTATTTGGAAAGTAGTATTTGCGGATGGGAATATGTTTACCCAGAGAGGTCACGATGTAAGATGGTTATCTTATACCAGTTGTGCGAGCAGATAGTGACAGTACTCAGGCCTGCAAGAGCGAAAGTAATGGCAAGACGTCTAGAGTAGTAATCTGTTACAGAGTTACGAGATGTAATGCGATTCTTATGGACCAAGAATGTGTCCCCACCGTGGAAGTGTGCGGGGCCGAAGCAATGAGTAGACTATAGATAACGTGTCGATATTTTGAAGCGGACAGAAAGCAAGTGGAAAACCGTAATATGGAAGCAAGCTGGATCACCGAAGAGGAAGAAGTTTAAGGTTGCTACCTCTGCAGGCAGAGTTATGTGGCAACAGTTTTTTGGGATAAGAATAGTGTTATCTTAATCGAGTGTCTGAAGCGTGGCCATACAATTAATGCCGATCGGTATTGTGCGTCCTTGATAAAATTGCGTAAAGCCATCCGACGGAAATCTTCTGGATTGTTTGCCAGACTCGGGAATTGCTGCGAACGTTTATGTGGGAGGTATGGAGTCACACCCATACAGACCCTATTTGCCTCCCAGTGACTATTTCCTTTTTCCGGCATTGAAGAAACACTTATCCGGAACAAAGTTCACTTCAGACTCTTGTTATTCAAACAGCTGCGGAGAACTGGGTCAATGGCCAGGGACATGATTATCACCAAGACGGGTTACTCAAATTGGTCCAGTAGTCTGATAAATGCCTAACCAGATTCAGTGATTATGTAGAAAAGTTACCGCCTAAACTGTCTCTTAATACCTATTTGTATCTTGTGTATCTATTGTTAAGAAATAATTTTTCATTTGTCTTGTATACTTTGTTTTGGGATCACCCCTCGTACTTTGAAACTTTTTAAGATGAAAGAGCATGGTGCAGATGGAAACTGATAAAAAACAGAAAAAAAAAAGTTCAACTTATTTAACGCTATTTTTAATATGGCCCATTTCCACTATTTAAAGAAAGTTGTTATATGTAAAGCTAAATATTCTCTTCTGCAGATTTCAGATAACATTCTATTACTCAGTTTCTTACAGTATTTGTGCTAAACTGGAATAAATTAGCATATCGTATATAAAACAAGTAATATAAAAGAAAAAAAAGTCAATTCTTACTTAGGTCAACAAAGAAAAACTTCATTTTAGTTACTTTTTGTTAAATAAAAAAATTAATATAAATATGTATATACAGAATCACAATTTTAAGTGACAAAATAGAAAGGGATTTTCCTTGTAATTTTCCATTTTCCTTTCTATGTTTATTACTATTTATTCATTAATTAAATTTAATTATTCTAATAAAATAGTATAGAAAAAAAACAAATCCCATTCTCAGAAATTAGGTCATCTCAGGTGGGATTAAGACCCACGACATTGGATTAGAAATCCAACGCGCTACCCATTGCGCTACAGGGACATAACGAATGACTTTCCTTTTTATACATGCTGCCGGACTATTATTTTTGTTTGTTACTATTGATTCATTAATTAAATTTAATTATTCTAATAAAATAGTATAGAAAAAA